GTGCGGGCGGGGGCGGGGGGGGACAGGGCCGCGAGGCGATCGGGGAAGGTGGATCATCCCTTGTCGCAGGCGTTGCGGTGACGAGAGTGACAGGGCGTCACGAGCAGGCCCTCGGGACCGTCACGAGCGCTCAGCGCCTGCCTGCCCCTGTGCGCCTGCCCTAAGCACTCGGGCGCGAGCCAGCCTGCGACCAACCACTGACCACGCGTGCGCGCGCGCGCGCCCCGCAGCTCGCTGCCTCGGCCGAGCAGCGGGCCGAGGCGGAGCGCCAGCTGGCGGCCGCGCGCGCGGACGCCGCGCGCAGCGCGTCGGAGCGCGACGAGCTGCAGAAGAAGCTGGTGTGGTGGCAGCAGGAGCTCGAGAGCGCGCAGGCTGAGGCGGACTTGTACGCCAAAGCGGCGAAGGCGGCGCGGCTTGAGGCGTCGCGCGCGGGGGCGGCGCTGAAGGAGGGGTTCAGCGCTGCCGCAGCGGCGTTCGCGCGGGGGCTGGAGCGCTCCGGCAGCCTCGCAGCCAGCGAGGGCGGTGGCCCACACAGCGGCAGCAAGCGCTCGGCGCGGCGGTGGTGAGCGGATCCGGGGCTGGGAGGGTGGGGCAGGCAGTGCAAATGAGGTGCTGCTTCATGCTCAACGGCGTGCGGCGCGCCTCTGGCGCGTTGCTCGCGCCGCTCGTGACGCCTCTACTGCTCTCCACCTCGCACATGTGCACATACGCGACACGTCCGGGCCCTGCGCAGGCCCACAGTCGCGCCGATCGGCGGGTCGCGCGACAGCCGGTATCCTAAGGACAAGGACAGCCCCACAGAGCTGTCCCCGCCGTCCAGCCAGCGCGGCGACAGGGACGACGCGTCGGAGGGCACGCGGCTGGAGGGCGCATCCTCCGTGTCGTCGAAGGACCTGGGCAGGCGCTCCGCGGTGCACCGGCCGGGGAGCGGCAGCAGGCTGCAGCCGCGGCAGGGGCAGCAGCAGGCGGACGCCGCGCGCTCGGACGACCAGCAGCCATCGCAGCAGGCGCCCCGCCAGCAGCAGCAAGCGGGCCCGTCTGGCCGCGGCGGTGGCGTGGGAGCGTCCAGAGCGCGCGGCTCGCCCGCAGCCTCGGATCCTGATGCAAGTGTTGCGCAGGAGGAGCGGGCATCCGCGCAGGCGCTTGCGCTGTCGCCGGTGCACGCGCTGACTTCCAGCTTGGACAAACAGCAGCAGCAGCAGCAGCAGCAGCACCAGCAGCAGCAAGAGCCGCGGCCGCGCAGCGAGACCGCGCCGCCCGGCGGCGTTCCGGGCGAGCGCCTCACCGCCGCCGGCCCCGGGCCCGGCAGCGAGCAGCGCGCGAGCGCGCAGCGGCGCTCTCTAGCCTCGCAGGACCGCAGCGGCGGCCGCACCCGCCCCGGCGCCGGCCGCGCCGCGGCGATGACGGCCCCTGCTGCGGGGCGCCCGCGGCTGGGCGCAGACGCGTCTGCTGACGCGCCGTTGATACCGAGGGTGCTTTTTGAGTCGGACGAGGGCGGAGAGTTGAGTGACCCTTGCGAGCCGTCTGGCGGCGAGCGAGCGGCGGCCGGCACGCCATCAGGGGGTGCGGCGGCATTCGGCGCGGCGGCGGCGGCAAGCCCAGAGGCATCGGGCTGCGAGACGTCTGATTATGAGCGGGAGTGCGACGCGCCCGCCGCCGCCTCGCCCCCAGCGGCGGCCCCCACCACCTCCCCGGCTGCCTCTGGGGACCCGGCCGCCGCGGCGCACCCGCGCGCGACCGAGGCTGCGGCGCGGGCGCTCGACGCCGCCGCGTCGGCGCCGCTGCCCGGCGGCCACCACCACCACCACCACCGGCACCGCGGTGGGCGGCAGGCGGTGTCTGATCTGTCAGATCTGGACGACGGGTCCGACGTGCTCATAGGCAGCCTGTCTGTCGGCGATTACCAATCGGAGTTCTCAACCCCTGGTCTTCTTAGCAGCCTGCGGGGGGATGACGAACGGGGCCCTGGATCCGGAGCCCGCGGCACCCCCGAGCACCATGGCCCGCACAGCGTTGCGAGCCGGCCTGGCGCGGGCGGGGCGGTGGCAGCGGCCGCCGCGGGCGCGGCTGCAGCGGCCGCGCGCCGGGCCGCGGGTGCGCAGCAGCAGGAGCAGCCGGCGGAGGGGCCGCCCGTGTCGCTGCTGCTGCCCGGGTTGCCGCTTGTCTCGCCGCGTGGGGGCGGCGGGGGGCCGTGCGGCAGCGGCGGCAGCAACGTGTCGACGCCTCGCTCGCGCTACGAGGCGAGTGCCGAGAGCATCAGCAGCAGCGGGGGCGGCGCTCGCCTCGCCGCATGCGCCGGCGCGTCCCACGCGCGCGGCAACGGGCTCGGGCCCGGATGGGGCCCCGTGCAGCAGCAGCACCACCACCAGCAGCAGCAGCAACAGGAGGAGCAGGGGCCTGGCGACGGGGCGGGCCACCCCCACAGCAATGGTGGCAGCGTTGACAGCAGCAGCATGCTCATGCCAGTCATGTCTGGCAGGATATGCGACCAATCGCTCAGCGCCGCCGCGGCCGCCGCAGCCCAGCAGCAGCAGCAGCAGGATGAGGAGGAGGCAGGTGGCGGCGGCGCGGAGGAGATGCTTGACCTTGACTGCGCACCCACAGGCTGCGCGGCGAGCGACGCGGCGAGCCCGTGCCCCAAGGCGCCCGGGGCGCGCTCGTCGCCGGGGGTGCGGTCCCCGAGCGCCGGGGCCGTCGCAGCGTCGCTCGCGGCATGGCGGCCGCCCATGTCGCCGGAGCGGCTGCAAGATATCGTGCGCGAAGGGGGCGGCCACCGCGGTCCGCTGGGAAGTTGGTCCGGCGATTGGGCGGTCGGCAGCGCAAAGCGGCAACCGGGGCAGCAGCAGCGCTCCGCGGGGTGGCAGCGCGGTGGGGCCGGCGGCGGCGACGAGGGCGTCGACGGCGGCGGCGGCGAGCGGGACAGCCGGGCGCGCGCCGACGACCGGTCCCCTGATGCAGCGGTCACGCGCTCGCTGCCGCTGCTGGTCGCCGCGTTGGGGCGCGGCAGCGTGCGGCTGCCGCACGGCGACGCGATGGCGTGGCTGCACAACAACGAGCTGTTTGAGCCGGATGGTTCTTCGCTGGGTGCGACGCCGCCGGGCACGGCGCGGGTGCGCTGATTGGGTGCCGGTTGTGGATCATTGCTCCCGGGTTTGCTGTTGGGCGGGTTGCTGCTCTGCCGCTGTTCATTGGAGCAACAGCGTGTGTGTACCCTCATTGCCGTTTCATTACAACCCCTGATCTATAGGGGATTGCAGGCAGGAGCACAATGCGCTGTGCCCAAGTGTAAAAATTGGCTAGGACTTCACCCTCGGGGGTCGTGGGGCAGGAACACCGCTTTCTGCCATGCGTACTTGCAACAGGCAGGCTGCACCAGCCTGCCCACATCGCAGGAGCTTAATGTAGGTACGAAAGGAATTGTTCTACGAAATCCAGTTCACCTCAACGCCTGAAGTTCCACTTCCCGCGTTTGAATTGGCATGATCTGGTTGTGCAGCGGGGTTGCATGTGCAAACAGCACATTTCAAATTTGTAACATAAAAATTTCAATTGGTTCCGCGACGGTATAGAGACGATCTAGTCGCTTTGGCGTCGTTGATTTTCAAGCATGATGTTATGATAAATGACATCTACATCTGTAAGTTCATCTATATGCGAAGTCGACTGCCGGCTAACCGGGCAATGCGCGCACAGTGACGAGCGCGCCCCTGCCGCCATGCAGGAAGCCGTCTCGACCGACGCATGGCGGCGCCATATCATAGCGGCTCGGCGCGAAGGCGTGCAGGTGGGCCCTCAGGCACGCATCGCAGCGTAGCCGCAGCAGACACACTATAAATGGGCCCTTCCTGTGGGATTTCGCCCTCGCAGGGCGTCGACGGCCTGGAGCGCGTCGTCCGAGCCGCCCAGCGGCCCGCGCCGGCCAGCGAGGGCCGCGGCAGCAACCGCGGAACCAGCAGCTCGACTCTCAGCGCCGACAGCGACGTGCTCCACCCGCAGCGGGCCGCAGCCCTGCGAGCGGCGGTGCGGAGCCCTCCGCGGCCAACGGCGCCGCCTAGGCGGCGACAAGGTGAGACTCTTGACAATCGCGAGCTTTCGCTGCATGCAGCATTCCTGAGAGCAGCAGTTGGGTGTGAGGGGCCGCTCCTTTAAGTGTGTTGTGGGATGGCATGCCATGCAACGCAGACGCAAGTGAGGAGGGCGACATTGGCTGGATGACGGGGCTGGCTGAGGCGCCACACACGCAACAAAGGCCGCCACAGCAGCAGCAGCAGCCGGTGGCGCCGCCGCCGCCGCCGCAGCAGCAGCAGCAGCGGCGGCGGCGGCAGCGGCGGCAGCAGCAACATCAGCAGGTTGAGGACGACGAGGGGTCGGCCTGTGAGGAGCTTCCGGCAGCCAGGCGGGTGGTGGTGGACCCGCGCCACAAATGGCAGCGCATTGCTGACTGGGTATCGGGCGACAGCGCCGCAGCAACTGCCGCCACCCGGACGGGCGGTGGCCCAGCCACCACTCCCTCCCCGAATGGCGCTGAGGCGGCAATTACAGCGGACACTCCAGCAGCATCTGCAGCAGGCGATGTGCAGGGCAGCGGGCCGCCGGGGCTGCCCCTGCGATCGGCGGCGGGCGTCGATCCCCCTCAATATGGTGCCAGCGCGCTTCTGGAGGAGCCTGTGCTTTTGAATCCATCGCAGCAAGAGCAGCAGCGGCAGCAGCGGCAGCAGCAGCAGCAGCAGCAGGAGCAGCAACAGCAAGCGCAGCAGCAGGAGCAGCGGCAACAGCAGCAACAGCAACAGCAGCTGCAGCAACAGCATGCTGACCAACTAGGCGCAGCTAAGCTGCAGCTCGCCGCGGTGCAGGCAGATGCTGCTCAGAGGGTGGCTGCTGCTGAGGCTGGCGCCAGGGCCAGGGAAGAGGCCACGCGGCGCCTATTGGAGGGCGCAAAGCAGGTCTGGCGTGCTGCGCGATTGTCTCTGCGTTCATGCTGCGCTCACATTTTAAAAAGGGATGCACACACAAACATTCCTCGGTGAAGCAAGGAAGTTGTTGTGGCTGGTTTGGCGCGGAACGGCATGCTGGGATTGCTGTTTGATGCATGCGCACGCTTGCGTGCGTGCCGACGCCCTCCATCCAGGCGCTCGCGGCGGAGAGGGCCCAGCTGCAGCGGCAGCGCGACGCCGCGGCGGCCGACATGCGGCAGCAGCGCCTGCGGCTGGAGCGGCAGCTCGAGGACGCGGCGGCGGCGCTGGAGCGCGAGCGCGGCGCCGCTGCGGCGGAGCGGGACGTGCTGCAGCGGCGGGTGCGAACCCTGGAAGAGACCGCGCAGGTGGGCGCCTCGGCGGCGTGCGTGCCTTGCGAGGTGCGAAGGTCCCCTGCGCCGCGCCGAGCAGGACGCAGTGGCCCACACCAATTTTACATCTAGCCGGGTTGGTCGAGAGGCTTGGGGAACGCAAGCAGCCGGGGGAGCGGCGTGCAGCGTGCCCAGGGTGTTGGCATGAGCTGGGGCTGGGTTGGACCCAAAATGGAGACATACATAAACCAGGGAACGCAGCCCGGGCCCCTCAAATTGCCGCGCTCTGCCGCAATCGATCAGGCGCGGTGCGAGGCGCTGTCCAGCGAAGCTGCCGACCTGCAGCAGCAGCTGGCGGCGGCGCGCGACGCGGCCGCCGCCGCCGGCGCGGCGCTCGACGCGACGTCGGGCCGGCTGGCGGCCGCGGAGCGCGGGCG